TGTACCCGATATAAGTATTAATAAAAAGCTCAGACCAAAGAGGTCACCTTAATACCGAAAAAAAAAAAAAAAAAAAATAGTTATCAATATTTAAAAGTAGTATTTTATCAGAACTATATTTAAGATTAGTTTCTATGATTATTAAATACTTCTCAAATATGGATTCCTTATAATAAGTAATTAAACAAGATATTGTTAATCTCAATATTACTAAAATGTCTATTATTGAATTAAATGTTCTTATAGAATCTAAATACATTTTTAGATCTCTTTTTATATTGTTAACAAATATATTTCTAATATTATAAATAAAATAATGTTATAGAATAAATTATTATTATTTTATTATTATTATTATTTAGTATTAGTTATTTCATTATTCTATTATTGTTATTATTTATAATTGCTAGAATTTTCTGATTGTTTAATAATCACTTAGTCATTTAGTTACCTAATTACTTAGTCACTTAGTTATCTAATTATTTAGTCATTTAGTTACTTAGTTATCTAATCACTTAATAATTAGTCATTTAGTAATTATTACTCATTAGTTACTAAAACTTTTTAATCACTTAGTAATTACTTAATTACTTAGTTGTTTAGTTACTTAGTTACTTAATGCTTAGTTGTTTAATTGCTTAGTTACTTAGTTACTTGACTGTTTAGTTGCTTAGTTTACAGATATATAAACCTTGCTAAATTCTCTAAGTGCAATTAAGTAATATATATTCTTTTCTCTTTAATATTATAAACACATCTTGGGATTCTTTAGAAACAGAAATCTAAGGATAACCTTTCTTGTTATTAGTTTAATAAATAACTTTTAACTATAAACTGTATTAATATTTCTCTTCTAAAGTAATTTTTATAAACAAAATTTATTCTTTTTAAGGTAATTTCTACAGACAAAATTTATTTTCTCTTAGTAAAATAAAATTATTAGTATTGCATTACCTTTCCTGAACTGTCTCAAAGAAAGATATAATTTCTTAACAATATTAAACAAAAGTTATACTTTCTTTTTGGATATCACATATATCTATAAGAAATTTCCTATACTATATTATTATTATAGTATAAAAATTAAAAAAATTTTTATCTATAATAATAATATAAAAATACTAATTGTTTTAAAACCTTTTTTATTATTTTTTTACTTTTTTTAAATAAATTATTTAATAAATATAGTTTAGCAAATTCTCTGCTAAAATCAAATTCTGACCTTCATCTTACAAAGCAGAACTATTTTCAATTATTACTGCAATCTCAACTGCTCTTCAAAACTGTACTATTAATATCTTTACAAACTCTTAATCAGTAATCTCTAAATTTAACAATCTTCAACTTAAGCCAATTCACCCTAACAAGTTACTTAAATTTAATTTATAGCCAATTTGGCACACTCTTTTAAACATTATCAAATCATACAAATTACAAATTACTTTTCACAAAGTACAGGCTTATTTAGACAATCATTTCAATGAGCAAGCAGACTCACTTGCTAAACAACATCCACTGTTACTATTCCTTTCATTTAACTACACAAATCTTTACAACCCTTATCATATTCTCCAATGAGAAAACCATTACGTAGAACTTCTTACAAGGCACTTTATTAAACAAATCTGTAAAGCTTACATCTTAGCTATATGGGCATCACAAAAATGAAACAGCAAATAATCATACTTCAACCAAGACATCGATTGAAAATCCACTTGGCTCTATTTCAATTACAATCAAAAACCCTCATACAATATTACCAACTTTAAACTTAATCAACTAAAATCTTTTAAAACAAAAATCCTTCTTAATGAGTTGCCAACATACTCATTATATCATACTATTTATTCAAGCCAATATCCAGATACTACTTACTTCTTTTGTAATCTACCTAATTCTCATTCCTATTGGCATACTTGTGCTAATCCATTTTTAGTTAATCAAATTATCCAAATCTTCACTAACCAAATTATTTCTAACAATCTGTCTGATCTTGATACTCATCATAAACATAACTTAATTAACAAAATTCTTCATTATTTAGTTCTTAATTTTCTATATATGTTACCTAATACTTATTATTTCAACCTTACTCTTAAAGAACTGATTCCAAAGTTTCTTATATCAATAATTCAAAATTTTGATATTTTATACAAAATGATTTCTCAAGTTATTATTGATATTCTCCTTAATATTAATGAACAATCATACAAACAATTATAAAAAACATACTGTATCCATTTCTCTAATTAGAAAAATCAACAAAACAAACCCCAATCTCAACCAATTAACCAATCTTTAAGATCATTCAATTTAATAAAAAAACTTACACACCCTCTAAGAGATTATACTTACTCATGCCTTTGTAAACTTTCTGATCAATTATATTCTTACTCAAATACATGTCCTCCTATTGACCAAACAATTTATAAAATTAACATTTGATTCATCTTATGGATCAAATATAGCATATCATCAAATTATATATTAAACATCCAAATCTAGATGAGTTTTGATCACTCTAGTAGGTTTAGGTCACAGATAAACTAGTCTGAACTTTTATTCTTGCATGTAATTTTCAATTTATTTGTTTTGTACAAATAGTAGTAACTATATAGTTAGCAGTTTAATGGTTAACCCTGACTGCAAATGTTGACCTTGGCCATAGCATATATATATATAACTATTTTAAATTATTAATAAAGATATAAGCAAGGCCTCACCTTAATACCAAAAAAAAATATATATATATATAATTTAGCAAAGAAAGATTTTAACTGTTGATCTTTTGACTTTATTAATATGTAAAATTTATCAAAATTTCAAATTAATAACAATTCCTGATGCTTTCTTTCATAAAGAATATCTATAATTATTTTTACAACTTTTGAAAAAAACAAAATATTGTTAGAAGTTTTTGCAACATTTTCTACATAAATTTCTAACTCACAATTATAAAACTCTTCTAATGCATGTTGTTGAAATTCAACTGCACTATTCATTATGATTCTGTTGTAACAGTTCAAGCATATAATGTTGCCTAGTTGAATATAATTTGGCAAAGTATTATTAGTTTTGCCCTTGGAAATAACATGTTCTGTAACTGTTTTTCATTTATTTGATGTTTGTGCATTGCATTTTGTAATTATGCATGAACCGGTAAGTGGCATTTTGTCTTCTAAGTAAAGTATGTCAGGTTTGTGATTATTTTGGAATTATTTTGCACAGTGAAATTTGACACCTTTCTAAAGCTAACAATGAGGTTTGCGGTGATTTTTAGTTAGTGAAACGTTACGCTCTCAAAAAGTGCTTTAAACCATATAAATTAGTTAGCCAATCAGGCGAATTTCCTCCTATGAACCGACGAATTATCATTTAAGCTTCAATCGATGTAAATTAGCCAATCATATGAATGTCTTCCTGAGATATTACCAGTTACATAGAAACAGCCTACATGAATAAAATTTTTATTCGGAAGATATATGAGTGACGAAAAGGGAAAACCTGTAAATCATCTCACTCAATGAGTGAAATGATTTACAGGTTTTCCCTTTTCGTCACTCATATCGATATATATATAAAAACGTCTAAATCTACCTCGGGTAGGTTAATTAGAAATGTCAGGAAGGCAGTTTGCTTATATAGAACTATCTAAAACCTAACCTAACACTAATATAAGATGACCCTAACCCTAAAGTTAATTCGATATTATAATGAATCTACTCCGCTTTGCTTAAGTATATTTTTTAAAAAATTTAATGACCGGTCATCAGATTTAGATTATGGAACGAACGTGGAAAACCAATTTTTTATCAGTATCGGTTTTGAATATTGCAGTATTGTATTATATATTTACAGTCAACTAAGAATCAGTTTTTAGTCGGTTAAGTCGACTAATGGAATATCAAAACACATAAATTTGAAACAATTTGTATATAAGCTTTAATTTTTTTTTTAAAAAAAAAATTTTAAAAAATTGAAATGATTATATTATTTATTATTAACGGTGGCCAGATTCAATTAATAAATCAACTTATCACTCGAAAAAATCGTCCTATAATTTAAAAAATGTTAAATTTAAGACATCGCAACAATGGAATTTCCCAATTTTTCACCTCAATACATACATCATCAACTTCCTTTCATTGATAACCATAGTTAGTAATTGGAAATGTGATAACTAATAGTTTTGAGTTAAGATATAACTTGTAATATTTACCATAGTTTGACTTTGAGATCGTAATTGTTGTGAAGAATTCGAAGTCGCAAGTGTTGGAAAGTTGATTCGCCTTTGTGATGCTGATGACTTTTGCGATGCTGATTGTCTTTGTGATGCTGGTGTTGATTGCCTTTGTGATGCTAATGCTGATGGTCTTTGCAATACTGATGATGTCTGTTTTTTGCTAGTGTACGCTCGTTTAGCAGGAGGTTCTTCAACGTCTTTACGCCTAAAAATTTCAGTGTCATAAATTATTTAACAAAGTAGGTACCTGAAATAATGAATGGTTACCTTGTAGATGTCTTTCGTTTTTTTACTTCGTTTCCATCACCATTGAACGGTTCATTATCTTCAGTATGATCAGATTTATCATCTATACCAAGATCATCTAGAAATCCTTCATCGTCTACCATGTTCTGCAAATATTATTTTAAAAAATAAATAACTGAAATATAACATATAATAATTGTACATCAAATAAGTAGATTCACCTTTCTATTAGAAGTTGTCCTTCTACCACGCCCACGAGCACGTTCAGTATGATCAGATCTATCATCAATGTCAAGATCTTCATCATCATCTACAATATTTACAATAGTCTGCAGATATTGTTTTAACATATAAATATCCGAAATATAACATATAATAATTGTACATAAAATGTATAGATTCACCTTTTTACTAGAAGTTGTCCTTCCTCTACCACGTCCACGAGCACGTTCAGTATGATCAGATCTATCATCAATGTCAAGATCTTCATCTACAATATTCTGCAGATATTGTTTTAAAAATATAAACATCCGAAATATAATATATAATAATAATTATACATAAAATGAGTAGATTCACCTTTCTACTAGAAGTTGTTGCTCTTCCTCTACCACGTCCACGAGCACGTGTACCTGTTCCCCTAGTTGTCTTTGTGGCCCTTCCTCTTGACGTAGTTTTAGCCCTAGAGCTAGTTCCAGTTTGATTGTCTGAATCAATATCATCTTCCTGCTGACATGTATCAGCGAATGCTTCGTTGCTATTCTAGAATGCAAATATCCAACTTGAATGTATTCTTTATTTGTATGTATTTGCAGGATGATGAATGATTACCATTTCTATTAATCTTTCATCAGGATTCATTTCTGCATATTGCCTTGATAAGAGACTTTTTTGCTTTTGCGCCTGAATGCATTAAAAATATGGTTAAATTATAATTTAGTCATAAATATGAAATATAACAGTAATAGTTCGAACCTGTTCTATAAGAATTTTATCGTCGCAAATCATATTTTCTTGACGAAGTTTCGCTCTTGTCTTTTTAATTGTATTATTATAGAATCTGACTCAAAATTTAACGATTAATTTCTTTCATATATGTCCCATGAAAAAAAACTTGGTTAATTAGTTATAAGTACCCTTCAATGGCGTGAGGATCATCTTTATCAACAAAAAGTGTGGTAGCTTCATTCAACGCATTTTCTGGTAATATGCTAAGGCTCTTCATGTTCTCTGTAATAAGATCAGTGACATAATTATGAGAAAGATTTTCAGGCATGTCGAATTCACCAGCTAAATTCATCGATTGTGTAGTATTTTTTTTCTTCTCTGTAGAAAACGTAAAATTAAAAATTTTCAACCATTGATTTGTAATATAAAAAATATAGTAAATAAAACAATAAATCATACCTGTGGGCGCTCTTTTTCGATAGAAAAATAAAATCTCATGATTATTTGCAACAAGGTTTACAAATTTCTGTCCAAATTGTCGATTATTCAAAACTGTGAATCCTCCACTGTATTCCACCTAAAAATAGTAGTAATGCTTGAACACGCAATGTACCATATTTTTATGAGATGAATATTTACCTTTAATCTAATTAAGGGAAGAGGAAACATTTCATCTTCTAGATCATAATCGTAATCATTCATTTCGAGCCATTGGTTTTTTGCATCTTGAATAAGCTCTTCTACCTGCGCTTTCATTATGAAAGAAAAAATAAATTACTATATAAAGGTATATATTAGATTTAGAAAAAAATATTACTATGTATTACCCACCTTTTTGATTAAATAAGCACTTATTGATGATGTTTTTGTGGGGTCAAGCCCATTAACATCCTTCAATGATAATTCACCAATTACAAATGGACGAACAGTGCGAAGACGAATTTTTTTCAGCTCAAATTGATCTCCAATTATATTCAATTTGGCCACATGTCTATTATAAATAAATTCAGACGTTAATATACTACAAATCTATAAAACAATTAAGATTAAGTCAATAACATACTTTGGTTCAAGCTCGCCTTCAACTAGACTGGTAGCAACAGATGATCCAGGTTGGGAAACATAAAAATTCTGCTGTTCATTATATATTGGTTCAATTTTGCAATCATGTTCATGACCCCAAATTATCATGTTCATAAAATCAGGTAAGTAGTGTTCTGGTATATAATTTTTAATTGAATGTGCGACTCTAACGCAGTGAAAAAAGAAAATAAATAAATAAAAATAATAATAATGAAATAAATAAATAAATTTGTGCACCATTTATTTTTATTAAGCAGAAATCTTATTATTAAATCACCTGTTTTGATGCAATACCATCAGGTTGAACGATTCATTTGATATTGGATTAGGTGGTGGGTTTATTTTAACTGCATCGTCAGTGAACATTCGATGCAATCGTTGGTCTCTTACATTTCCCAATCCATATAGTGCCAATACTGTTTCTCCTTTTCTTAATAATATTGGTTTAACTACAATATTTTCTACTACGTTGGCTTTACCAAAATAATTTACAAGACCTGAAACTGCAAGAACGTCCAAAGCACAAAGGTTTCCATCCTTGGATAATATTGACGTGTTTTAATATAAGATGAGCCGAAAAGACAATAAAAAATTGAATTACAATTACAACGAATTACACATACTCCGGATGGATCATCATGATTCCCATGAATAGAAAATACAGGCATTGCAACTTTATAATTAGGATCTTGAAGGTTCAACTTATTAAAATTATCACTGGCAAAATAGTAAAAGAATTATTTAAATAAAATTATCGATAATCTTCTAAAAATGAAATTCTTTGAGAAGATCTTAACTTGTTATTTTCTCTATCATCATTTATGATTTCCAATTGACATTTTTTATCACCCATACAGTAAGTGCGAAGTATTTTCATAGTCTCGTAAAGTGTCTTTCGAGAAGGTCTATTCTCGTGGAAAAGATCCCCACCCAATAGAACCATATCAACCTTAATATTAAAAATGGGTACTTTTCTGTTGAGTTCGTAATAAGAATTTTCTTATTTTAGCGCTATCACATTATCTTACGTCATTTTGTTTTGCTATCTGCAAAATTTCTCTAAAAGTATTCAAAGAATCTTGTCCACGAATTGGATCATTCTCTAAATAACCTAAATGATTATCAGTAGCAATCAGAATGGAAATACATTCATTCGAATCTTCGTCGCGTATTTCTGTTAAACTAGTGAGATCACTACTTGACGCGTTTTTTTTAAAGAATATATATAAAATTAGGTTAATCTCGTTTCAGACTACAAAATAGAAAGGTGCACATAAATAAGTAAACCAACTTTGATAGGTCCATATCAGCCAAGAAATAATATCAGTGCGAGTTAAATTCATTATATATATAATTTTTTATTATAAAAAGCAGAAATGCTGCGCCAATACTGTCGTGACAATCAATTGGTCGTTCTGTAATACGTAAAAAAAAAAACTCCTTTCATAATTTTGGTAATATTGTAAGCCTTACTCTAAATTCTCTAACTTCAAAATCAACTTAATGCCATCATGTGTACGGGAACAGGAGGAACCGTACCTAAAAATAGACAATGTTACACTTATACGGTTTAAAGTACTTTTTTGAAAGACTTGTTGTGATAGTACATAAGAATATTTTATGAATTTACTTGAATTCAACACTTTTTATTGTTGTTAAGCAGGTTTAAAATTAAGCTTTGTGTTAAATATTTAGTTACCAAATCTTTTAAATTTTATCTACTAAGCAAAAAAAAACTAAATAAACTATAAAGTAAAGGTTTAACAAAACCAATCTGAAAAGAAAATACAGTTTTATATAACAAATGTTATATAAAATTTGTTAAAAATCTCTTAAAAGAGAATGGTGATTCTGGTATAGTAGTTGAATTGTTATTTTTCAAGTAGCAGGTCTAAGGTTTAAATCTTATTTAATTTGTGTTATAGTAATTGTATCTTGTTGATTAGTTAAATTGAAAAAATAATCTGTAATTTTAAAGATATCATTTTGAATAGAAGCTCAGAGCATCTATACAAAGTGCAATGTTACACATATATTAAGAAATATTAAATAATCAATATTATATAAAACTTCAGTGCAAACCTACAATAAAACTATTAGATACATAATATTAAAAAACTAATATATAAAAATCCATATAAAAATTCTAAATAAAAAAATAACATAGACTTTTGACAATACTACTGAACTAATAAAAGGAATAGTTAGAATGAATTAAACAACAATATGTATAAAGAAGCATATATCAATTAGGTTACTAAAAATTATTAAAAGAAAAGAATTTTAAAGTATTATACTAAGTCATTTAAATTGATAATTTGAAAAGTCTTATAGATTTCTTAAAAGAAACAATTAGAATAAATTAAATAATAATATGAGTAAAAAAATATATACTAATCAGATTACTAGAAATCATCAAAAAAAAAAAAGTTTCTAGAATATTATACTAAATCATTTGAATTGGTAGTTTGAAAAGTCTTATAGCTTCAGAATAAGAGACAGAAATTGAAAAGAGAAGTATTAGGGTTTTAGTAAACATTATAAAAATAAAAATAATGTAATGAAATAGTTAAACAAATAATCTGGTTTAGTCATAAAAAAGTCTATTGCTTATTATTTGTTGAATTGTTTATATTATGATTTTGGGCTACAATATTTTAGTAAAGGTTTAAATATAAATAAAATTAATAGTTATAATATTTAGAATTAGTTTGAAAAATCTATATACACTCTTTTTTAAACATACAAGTTTTGAAATAGAGTAACCCTTTTGTTAAAAATAAGAGCAAATGACAAGACAAAACTGGCTAAAGTATTTACTAAAACAAGAGTACTTGCACTTGTTCCAAGAAAAAGATCTTTTACAGAATTATAATATACAAAAAGCATAAAAATAACAAAAAAAATAGTATTAACAAGCAGCAGAAAAAAAGTAAAGAAAAACAAAGAAAACATATCAAGCTTTTCAAACTTGATAACTGATATAAAAAAGGCTACTAAATACAAATAAAAAAAAAAACAAATACTAAAAAAAATCTCTAGTAAAAACTCAACAAGCTGGAACAAACAAGTCGAACTAAAAATAAAAAAAATAAAAACTATTCAAGACCAAAAAATAAACAAGAATAATATGTTTAAAGATACTATAAATATAACAACAAACAATATATTTGAGGAACAGATAATATTAGATAATTTAGAAGAAATTGAAAATATAACAGAAAAGAAACTAAACACAACAGAAAACTTGCAAAGTAATAGTTTGTCAAATGAAGCATATAAAACTAATTCCTACAATAACTTACAAAGAGACAGTAATAGACAAAAAGATCTAAAAGAAACACTAACTAAATAGTAGTCTAGTATTTTTTCAAAATTAAGAAGAGGACAGTTTACCTACTCTTCTTTTATGCCCAGAAGCCAAATTAGATCAAAAAATAAAAATGTCTAAATGATAGATATTCAAGGCATGCACAGCTTTTTCAATGAAATTATAACCTCATTATTTAAGAACCTTAAAGAAGATATTATAACAGTAAAACAATATTTTACAAAAGGAATATGTATATATTTAGAAATTGTATTTAAAAACAAATACAAATTAAAACATCATGCTATCAAAGATATTATTATTTTTGGCAAAACCTTCTTCAGCTTTATTCATACAGATTCAAGAAAATTATTTCTTCTAGTCAAGATCAGAAATGTTTCACTAAGTAACAAAAAAGCAATATTAGATGCTATAAAAGAAGCTTTCGAGTTTGTTAACAGAATTGCATCAATTAAGCCTTTACTAATTGAAGAAACACCTTATCTTACAGACCAATGGATTATAATCTTTGAAAACTCAGATAACTCTAATTTAGAAAACAAAATACCTTGTTTTATACATATATGAAACAATAAGGTTATAACAGAATGGAAATCAGCATCTAAGATGTGCTACTTTTTTGAAAAAGAAGGCTATGTTAAAAAAGAATGTTAACAATTTTAGAACTTAGTAAATCTATGAATTAGCTACCAACAATACAAAAAGGACAAATATAACAGAAGACTCTCAAATAACTTTTAAGAGTTAAATAAAACTCTAAAAAGTACTAAACAAAGCAATGAAAAACCTCTATTACTAGTAAATTCTAATCAGCAAGAACAAAATAATACTAAAGATGATGTACATATACCCTTAAAAGAAACTAATTCTAACCATCAGCAAAACCTTCAGCTTCTAGTTTTAGCAGAACTACATTAGCAAAAAATATAAGCAAAATATTGCGAAAGATTTTGTATACTAAAAATCTTTCAAAATAATTGCGATTGATGTGAAATTCTTTTGAAATAAAAAAATTTCGCAATATTGTGAAATATTCAAAAAAATTTGCAATATGCAAAATTATTAGCAAATTTTCACAATAATGCAAAATAATTAGCAAATTTTCGCAATAATATGAAATAATTAGAAAATTTTTACAATAATGTAAAATAATTAGAAAATTTTTACAATAATGCGAAACATTGTAATCAGAAAATTTTAACAATAATGCAAAATAATCAAAAAAATTTCACAATATTGCAAAATAAACAAAAATTCTACTATTACAAAATTAAAAAAATTTTAAAACTATTTATTAATTTATTTAATTTTTAATTATTATTTATTAATGTTAATGATAAGACAATTATTATTTATTAAATATAATTTTTTATTCAATTTTTATTAAATAATAATTACATAATAATTACATAATAGGGGTGTGGCGACCTAGTGAATTGGTCAGGTTGTCAACCCCCCAAGTGGTAGGTTGGGTGTTCAAATCCTATCGACAGCGAAAATTTGGATAATCACCT